CATGAATGTTCATAGCAACATTTATTCATAGTAGCCAAAAAGTGGAAACTACTTCATTGTGCATCTATGATAAATAGATAAAGTGTGGTATATCCATATAATTAAATATTATTTGACAATACAAACAAATGAAGCAGTGATTCACATTGCAACTTGGGTGACCTTGAATATATTATGCAACATGAAAGAAGCTAGCCACAAAAGACTGCTTATTACATGATTCCATTTATAAGAAATGTCCAAGATAGGCAAATCTATGACAACAGGCCTAGGTTAGTGCTTGCTTAGGGCTGTTGGAAATGGAATGGAGATTGACTGCTAATGAGCATGGGTTTCTTTAGAGGGGACAAAAATGTTCTAAAATTAGGCTGTGGTGATGATTGAACAACCCTGAGAATATACTAAAACCGTTAAATTTTGTTTTTTAAATGGGTGAATTGTATGGTATGTGAACAATATCTCAATAAAGTGTTAAAAACAAAAACTTCTCTGTACTCTCATATGGAAGAGGGAAGTCCTTGGGGAAAAAAGGGAAAGGATAGGGTGGAGAATACAGACGGAGGAACTGGCCTTTAAAAGACGAGGGATATTTCCACTGTAGGACATTTGCAGCTGTAGTGGTAGCAGGGCAGGCTTTGTGCTTAGAAAGACTCCAGTTCATTTAATGCTCTGTGTCACCATCTTAACATTTTTAATAGTTTTTTTTTTTTTTAACAAGGGACCTGACATTTTCATTTTGTACTGGGTCCTAAAAATTATGAGTCTTGAGTGGTTGCATCTTGTTCGATGTCTTCTGTAGTTGGAGGGAAGTGTAAAGTAAGGCTGTCAGCTGAGAATGGTAGAGAAAAGGGGCTAGAAGTTTAAGGAAAATAGGGTGAGCATGAAATAGTCATGAGAAGCTACAGAAGCGTGGGAAAGGTGCCTGCCTGTGGCTCCTCCTTTTGAGTTTGTGGTGTCTTTGTTCTTTCTTTTGCTTGGAATACACCTCTTCTACTTTTTTCTCCTCTCTCTCTACCATCTTCTTTTTATCCTCACCCAAGGATATGTTTTTTCATTGATTTAAGAAAGAGAGGGAGAGAAGGAGAAAGAGAGAGAGAAACATCAACGTGAGAGAGAAATACTGATCGGTTGTTTCCCATACGTACCCCAGCCAGGGATCAGATCTGCCACCTAGGTATGTGTCCTGACTGGGGAAGGAACCCGTATCCTTTTGTATGGGGCAGTTCTCCTACTGGCCAGGGCTCTACCATCCTCTTTATGCCCCTTACCCCCAACTCAAAACCCTGTCATTCTTTCAGGACCTAGTTCACATTCCACCTCCTCAGTGATGTTGAATATATTCAAACTTTGGATACTGTTTTAAATACCTCTTGAAAGCATTAGGACAAAGAAGCAGTCACTGAACAATCTACGATTTTCAATGGGGGGACTAGTTGGTAAAGCAACATTTCCTTGTAGTTGCAGCTGATATCTTAGAGAGGATTTTTGGTTTTTTAAATGAAGATTATTGCATAACAAAGACATTTAATGTTTTCTCTAAAATTTAGTTTTAAATGTTGATTAATAGATAAATCTAATTATCATTTGTTTTAACAGAACACTTTCTGGGAGATGTTGCCTTAAATGTGGTAGAGAAATTTTTTGAGCTCATTAAATTGCAAACCATTTTGTCTTTCAACACATTTTTTTCTTTAAATATACTGGAGTGGGCAGAAGTAGGTTTACAGTTGTATGTGAAACACAGTGTTTATTTTCTTTTTTCATTATTTTTTTTTATTTCAGAGAGAGAGGGAAGGAAGGGAGAAGAGAGAGAGAGGGGTTGGGGGAGAGAGAGAAACTCCATCGGTTGGTTGTTTCCCCATATGTGCCCCAACTGGGGACTGAATCCACAACCTTTGGTATACAAAACTATGCTCCAACCAAATGAGCCACACTGGCCAGGGCCGGAGTTTATTCTTGCATTATTATTTATTACTGTATTATTTTCTATATGAACACCTATAAACCTACTTTGTCCACCCCTTATAGAAAACCTGACTTTTTAAGAAAAAGAATTATCTTTAAGTTTAAAACATTTTGCAAGTTGAGGGGATGATGGGAAGGAAGGAAGGAAGGAAAAGGAAGGAGGAATTCTATTTTAAGTGTAACAATTATAACATTTATTACAATAAAATAGGACATTGAGAAGCAATATAATTTTTTTATAGCCTGTGAATAATATTTCACGATTATTAATTTGTTTCAGCCTGGAAAAGATCCTGAGTCTAGAGGTACAAATTCCCAAACAAAGTTAAGCTCTCATCTAAAAATCAAGGTTCAGTCATCTCACCAGAGGTCTGATCTTGAAAGCAATGCAGGTAAATCAGTTACCAAAGTTCTGCTGCCTCAGCCCCTGGAACCTGCATTGGTAAGCACTGGTCTTTTACTAACTACTTCTTGGAAAGGCTATGAAAATAAAATGTACTTATTGGAAGATTTAGATATACATAGTTTCTTTAAAAAATTAGGGAAAATTTCAGAGATGCTATACTTACAGCTCTGTAAAGGCAGATGTTTGTAAACAGACTGACAGTTGCCAGTTGGGACACAGATATTCAGAGAGGATTAAGAGTTCAAGTCTGTATTGGCTGGTGACACCTGAGAAAGGAATCAGGGAAGAAGCAGGAGTGGGCAGGAATAGCCTCAGTCTTTTTGTATCTCAGATGGCAGAATTTTATGGTTTTACTAACACAAACACAGTGTGCACACAAGCTGTCAACTCATTTTCTTTGCTGCACAGCCTGGCATTGGGGCTGGTGACCCTGACGGCCGGCTGGGCTGCTCTGTGCGCAGTGGCTGTGCGGTTGCAGCAGGAGGTGTTGTGAGGCGTCTCAGCACAGTGACATTTATTGTGCATCCTCAGCACTTCAAGCTCCCTGACATTGTGGACCAGGAACTTCCGAAAGCCCCTGCACAGCATGGGCTCTGTTTTCGTGTTGTTCCCCTAGCTAGCACTGGGCTCAAGGTCTGGCCCTTGAATCTGCTGCTCACCCTTTTGTCATTGCCTCTGGGTCTTGGCCAGTTACACTTAAGTCTGACATACCGGTCTGACTGGTGCTGGATGAACTTCTTGGTCCTCTCTTTTACAATCTCAGGCTTCTCAAGGGTCTGAGGGCAGCCCTGGTGCCCAATAGGGAATGACTGCTACCCATGTAGGCAGCACTGGGGAAGAGAGCCTCAGTTTTCAAAGCAGATCTTCCAGAAGCTCTCCCAGTGGGGAAGTCTAGAGCAAAGATTGCCCATTACAGGAATCTTATATTGAGCTGCTATGCTCAGATGTTGGCTGGGGTTTGCCTGAGAAGATGATGGCCTCAGTCTGAGAGCTGAAGCAGATTCTAAAGATGGTGCCTCTGGGGACTATCAGCTAACCACACTCCTTGCAGTGGAACAGCAGGCTCTTTGTTTAAGGTCTGAGTGGAGCACCTCCATGGCTTGCCACAGTGATAATAATAACAGCTATCATTAAGCATCTCCTACTCTCCACGCACCAGAGGTTCTCTTTACAGGTGTTACTTGTAACCTTTGCTCAGCAGTCCCTAGGGGTAGAATAATCCCCAAGGTTCAGAGGAAGAAATTAAAAGATTATGTAGTGAATAAATTAGAGAACTGACATATTCAGTGTACCAGGTAAGCATGCCCATAAAATTGTGTTCTTATTATTTTGATAAAAAATTTTCTACTGAACTATTCCAGATTATATCTTGAACAACTAGTTCCAGAGATTTTTAAGTCAGAAAGAAAAAAGAAACTCAACATAAATTTTCCTATGCTGTGCAAGTTTTAACTCTTGAGTTTGGGTTCCAGACTTGGCAGCATATTAGACATCTTTCAAAGAGATTCATCCGAGGGACATGGTTATCTCACCAAATCCAAGAGTTGAAAAGGCAGCTGATGGCTAGAAAGGACGCTGCCTGTCATCCCTTTTTTTGACTCTGTCACTGTATCTTTCTGCTCTGCCTCTCCACCTGTTTCTTTGTCTTTGCTCTCCCTGGTTTTGTTACTTAGTCTCAAGCTCTGTCTCTTTTCTCCCTGTCTCTGTTTTGATCTCTATCTGTCCTTTTCTGCCTGTGACTCTTTCTTTGACATCAGTCTCGGTCTTTCTGCTCAATCTCTGTTGGTCTCTATCTTCTCTATTTCTCTTCTTCCTCCCTCTCTCCCCTTAATCTTCCTATTTTCTTTCTCTCTGTCTTTTGTCTCCCCATTCTCCCTCTCTCCCCTCCCCCTGCCTCTTTTTTTACTTTTCTTTCTCCCTTCTTTTCTCTCCTCTCCCTTCTCCCTCCCTCCCTCTCACTCTCTGGCTATTCCTCTCCAACAGTCCTTCCCTCTCTCCATCTTAAACTCTTGCTCTCTGATCCTGTCTCTTGCCCTTCTCTCTCTCTCACTCTTGATTTGTCTTTCATTGTCTGCCCCTCTGCATCTTCAGGAAATAGAAAATGAATCTCTATCCTACTTTGTATTCTCTTTAACTTTGGTGTTCTGTAAATGAAAGTGTATGCATTTAAATGTATGTACTTTAAACCAACTATCCTTGCTACATATTTGAACAGCTTCAGAAATAACTTATAATCCCTTTCCATAAAAGGTACAGTATGTACTAGGAATTAAACAAATATTATAAGTAAAATGCCTTTCTTAGCAGTTAACAAAGATAATCAAAGCATCATTTCCTAATTCAAATCTTTAATTAGCTTTTTCTTCCTAAATTAGTAGTGATTTCAACCAAAGTATTTTCAGATAGTTGTTATACCATATCAGGTTCTCTTGGAAGTTGTTTGATATAGCTCAAGCCAGAAAATTCTTTAGTTACCTGTCTAGTGGTTTAAAATTTAATCAGCAGGTTAAAAGTTTATTAGTAGGACACATTACTATTTAGTCTACTAATTTTAAGTTGTGTTTTTATGGTATTAAAATAATTTATTTCTTTTTGCTATTCAATCCCGTATTTTGTAAAACATTGATAGGACACGAATCCCACTACTCCTGATAAGAAAAGCAGAGGCCTGTTAACAAGTACTCCAACTTCTCAGACAGCTGGTTTAGAGGTAAGAATTAGTATTTGCACTTTGTGGCATCTAATTTCTGGCTCCCCTCCTCCCTATTATTCTGTTTCTGTAACACGAGGGGAATATTGCACATCGAAAATGATATTTTTTATTTTTCTGTTGCATAAGCATATTTTCACTGGAAGTATTCTATATATTGCTATCCATAAAAGAAAGAAAAAAGAATACTACAGCACCAACCTGTCTTGATGTCTCTCTGTCTGTCCTTTTCTGTCTCTGACTCTGTTTCTTTGATTGTCAATCTCAGACTTTTGGTTCGCAGAAAGGGTAGATGGAGTTCAGTTAATAGGCCCCTTATAAATATAAATTGGATGAAGGATAGGAAAAATTACATGATGTTATAGCTAATAAAAATACCTATTTAAACAATAATTTTAAAGCTGAAGAGTATTATAATCTTCTTTATAGACTGGTTTCTCCCCAGTTAAACATGCATCTTTGGAAGAACTTATTTCCAAAATGTCAGTGATTGTATTAATTCAGATAAAATTGTTCACCTGTCAAATTCACAAGAAAATGCTTCTAATGAAATAGTATGTTTCAACTTTCCTTTAATTACTTAAAAATAATTGGTTTTGCAGTATTTAAATTCAACAAAAGAGTAACATATTCTTTTGTAGATTGATCTGTCTTCAGTACAAAAAGTGTCTTTGGAGGAACTATTTCCAAATGGCAGCAACTGTGTTAATTCAGATGAAATTGTTCCTGTGTCAAGTTTGCAAGAACATTTTTCAAATGAGGTATTTCGATTTTCCTTTCCATCACCAAAAGAAATACTTACTGTTATATTAGATTCTTTGTAGATGAGGTACCTTTAAAAATCTGTAACTTGTTTAATATCATGTACATGTGGAGTCTGCCCTCAGTTATAATTCCAAACAAAGGCTATTAGGCTGCTGAAACCAAAACATTTTGCATCCTCTGGACTAAGGGATATTGAACAATTAGAGGAAACAGTATTATCCTACTTTGATCCAAAACTCAGTTTTTTGTCTTGACATAAAAATTGTGGTCACCAACCTCATTGTATTATGTTAAAGTACTGTGCCCCATTAATAAAGAGGACATAAAACTCATGGCTCTAAGAGCGATGGTGGGAGGTGTGCGTGGGAGTAGAGAGAGGGGATGAGCAAAAAAAGAACAGAAGGAGAGAGTGGGAGAGAGAAAGGGCCAGAGAGAAGGGAGCTGGGACAGAGATACAGAGAGAAAGACAGAGTAAGACAGGAAAGAGGCCGAGCGAAAAGGAAGAGGCAGCACTTCAGGGTTGTGTAGTAGTTCAGTGTAGCCAGACCTTCTCAGTGTGACCCTGGGGTGAGGGTGGGGATCCAGGTGGTGAGGAGGAAGCTAGAGATGAGATTGTAAAGATAAACCAGGGCCAAGAGAGTAAAGGGTCTTGTAATCCCTTTAAAGAATTTGTATTGTTTTCCTTAGGGGAGCCAGTAAAGAATTATGAACAGGGCATGATATCAGGTGTTCTTAAATAAGGTTTATTCTGGCTCCAGAGGTAGAGAAAAGATTGTAAAAGGTTGAGACTAGAGGCAATTGGAGGGATGATAATGAACAACAGAGCAGAAATAACTGAAGTAGACTAAAAAATCAAAGGAAAAGATCAATGAAACTAAGAACTACTTTTTGAAAGGATAAACAAAATAGACAATCCTTGAGCAAGACTTACTAAGAAAGAGAGGACTCAAGTAAATGAAATTAGAAATGAAAGAGGAGACATTACAGCTGATACCATAGAAACACAACAGATCATAAGAGACTACTATGAACAATTATACACCAAAACTGGACAATCTAAAAGAAATAGATAAATTCCTGGAAGCAAAGCCTACCAAAACTAAATCACGAGGAAATAGAAAACCTGAACAGATCAATAATAAGTAAGGACATTTATCAGTAATCAAAAATCTCCCAACAAATGAAAATAAAGGACCAGACATTTTCAATGGTAAATCCTAACAAACATTTCAATTAGAATGCTAATTCTTCTTAAACTCTTTCAAAAGCTAAAAAAGAACACTTCCAAACTCATTTTACAATGGCAGCATTACCCTGATATCAAAACTAGACAAGAACCCCATAAGAAAAAACAATTAACGGGGAACATAGATACAAAAATTCTCAACAAAATGGTAGGAAACCGAATTCAACAATCCATTAAAAGGATCATATACCATGATCAAGTGGAATTTAATCCAGGGAGGCGGGATGGTTCAACATTCACCAATCACAAAATGTGGTATATCACATTAACAAAATGAAGGATAAAAATCATGTGATTATATCAATAAATGCATAAAAAGCACTTGTATTTAGTATTGAAGAGGTAAACTGTGAGACCACCTTAATATTTGTTCCTTTCCAGATAACTTGTTTATTTTACTACTTGGTCTTTTGTAAGTAGAAAACAGCCTTCTTTTAAAGATGTACTTGAATGTAAATTTTATATTAAAATAAAGGGGAAGGGGAAAATGCTATCATGTATATTTGAAAGTTGCCAAAAGAGTAGATACTAAAAGTTCTCATCACAAGGAAAAAAGAATTTTTTTTGTAAATATATGAGGTGATAGATGTTAACTAAACTTGTTGGGGTAATCATTTCAAAATATGTTCTATGCCAACATTATCTTCTACACCTTAAATTTATACAGTGTAGTATGGCAATTATATTTTAATAAAACCAGAAGGAGAAAAGATGAGGGGCTTTAGGAATAGGCTGAGGCCTTTTGGTCCTCTTGTACAATATCTTTTTAGTTCAAACATTTTCTAGTACAACTCTGATTATTGTTTAATTTCATTTATTCTCCATTCTAAAATGAATAATTTTTAACTTTTTTTTCCTGTACTGCATTAGTTTCCTAGAATTACAGTAACAAAGTGCCATAAGCTAGGTGGCTTCTTAAAATAACAGAAATTTATTCTGTTACAGTTCCAGAATTTGAAATCAAGGTGTTGGCCATGTTTCCTCCAAAGCCTTTAGGGGAGATTCTTCCTTGCCTCTTCTAGCTTCGGTGAGCCCCAGGCATTTCTTGGTTTGTGGCTGCGTAACTCATTATAATCTCTGCCTCTGTCTTCATATGGCTTTCTTCTCCTGTGCTTTTGTGTCACTGGGTCTCCATATGGTGTTCTCCCTGTGTGTCTTTAACTGCGTCCAAATTTCCCTCTCCTTATAAGGATACCAGTCATATTGGGTTAAAGCCCGCCCTAATGACTTCATCTCAATTAGATTAAATCTGCAAAGACCCTATTTCCAAATAGGGTCCCCTTTACCAGCACTGTGGGCTAGGATTTCAACATACCTTTTTTTGTGTGAGAATACATTTAACCCATAACACTTATTTTCCTATTTTTCTATCTAACAGTCCTAAATACTTTGCCGGTTACCATGTGGCCCCTCTAGATCTTCAGTTGCATCAAGTTTTCCATGAATTTCAACTTACTAAATAATTCTTTTCTGGAGCCTTCTGACCTGTTCTAATATAGTATGTCATATTGCCTTTATCACTGGGGCATAATTGTCATCTTGAGATCTCCCTGTACCTTCATCCTAGGGACTCACTTGCCCTCTCTCCTGGCTTGGTTCTCCTGTTTCCCCCGTGACTTTCTCTTTCTGACTTATTTTGGTGGAGCTAATCATCCATTAGCTTTCTGAGAAAAGGGTATGTGGTATAGAAATTGTTTGAGACCTTTCACGACTGAAACTGTTTTTGTTCCATTCTCATACATGATGGATAGCTTAAGCTAGCCAGAGAATTCTGGGTTGGAATTAATTTTCTTTGGAAGTTTTCCAGAATAACCTTCTTTTACTTCTAGCTTTCCATCTTAATTCGAGAAGCGTGCCGATTCCTAGTCTTTTGTAAATGACCAACTTTTTCTTCACTGTATCTTCAGTGTTCTAAAATTTCATGATGATGTGCCTTGGTACAGGTCTCTTTCCATGTATAGAGCTAGAATATCTCTTTTAATCTGGAAACTTACACACTTTGGTTTTGGGATTCTTAAAATTATTTCATTAATAAGTTTTAGGTCTGCAGTTTTCCTCCTTTTCCTGAAACATCTATTATTTGGATATGGACTTCCTATACTGGCCCTCTCATCTCCTTATCTTTAAAAAAAAAACAAAAACCTCTTTATCCTTTAGTTTTGTTCTCTGGGAGAGTCCCTCAATTTTACCTTCCAAATCTTATATTGACAATTTTGCATCTATATTACAATATTTTTAAAAATATTTTATTTATTTATTTTTAGAGAGAGTTAGGAAAGGGGAAAAGAAAGGGATAGAAACATCGGTCAGGTGCCTCTTGCACACCCTCAACCAGGCCTAACCCTAACCTGGCCTGCAACCCAGGCATGTACCGTAACTGGGATCAACAGACAACCTTTTGCTTTGCAGGATGATGCTCAGCCAACCACAGGGTCAGGGTGCTACAATATTTTTTAGTGCACAAGAGCTCCTTTTGTTCTCTGGATGCCCCTTTACTTTAATGTACTTGTTTTATGCTTGTCCAATTTTCTAATGTTAGTTAGTTAATCTTGATGTTTTCTATCACTTCTGTAGTCTCTGTTTTCTCTGAGGTGCACCCTTCTTTTCTTTTTGTTTTATTTCATCTCTTCTCTTCCATCCTCTTCTCTTCTCTTGGCTCTCACTTGCTCTCTCTCTCTCTTTTTTCTTTCTTTATCTATTGTATTAACTACTCATCTACCTACTCATATTTAAGACTGTGTTTTTAAAAACCTGACTGGACACTGTAACTCCTGGGTGGGCCTTTGTCAACTATGAAATTTATTGTAAGGTCATATACCTGAGCCTTGTACTTACTTACATCAGCAACATTAGATCTTTCCTTTTGGACTGCTGAGAGCAGGATCTTTCTTTCCCCTCTAATATTTATTTTTCTCACATGCAGACTAGCAAAATATAATCAGCTTTATTATGCAGACAGGTATCCTTCTACATTTTTAAATAATTTAGGCATGTATAAATAGAAGAGCTCTTTAGAAAGGAAAAATTCAAGAATGAACAAAACCTTCCAATTTTGACCTTGTAATTTTCCCATTGCAATGCTTAAAATGATTTTAGGTCACTCATTCTGAGATATATGACAGCACCTTAAAAGTGGCTGATCTTTGTCCCCAGTAACATTTTTTTCATGTAACAAAGTATTGAAAGTTAACAAATATTTATATGCACAAATAGCTACTTTCTAAGAAAAAATGTGTAGTTCTACAGCATAATGAATGTAGTATCTGCACTAACTTAATATTAGCCAATTTTTAAAAAATCCTTATCCAAGGACATTTTCATTGTTTTTTTTTTAGAGAGAGAGAGGAAGGGAGAGAAACATCACTGTGAGAGAAGCATCACTTGGTTGCCTTCACAGGGACCAGACCAGGGGTCTGTGCCAGGACAGGGGGTCGCACGTGTCCACACCTGGACTGGGGGTAAACACATAGCCTGGATATGTGCCCTGACTGGGAATCAAACCTACAACCTTTTGGTTACAAGATGACACTTCAAACATTGAGCTATACTACTGGTCAGGGCAATAATTAGCCAATTTTTAATATATATGATACCAGTACCTTTTCTGCCAATTCACAGCTTTAAAATTATTACTGGAGCCCTGGCTGGTGTGGCTCAGTGAATTGGGTGCCAGCCTGTGATCCAAAGATTACAGGTTCGATTCCCAGTCAGGGCATGTACCTGGGTTGTGGGCCAGGTCCCCACTTGGGG